CAGCGGACAGTTGGGCCCGTGTAAAGGCTTTTCCCGCAAGAAAAAGACGACGCACCGTGCTCTGATTTTACTCTTCAAAGCCCACAAATACGCTCGAAGTTTTGCCGGGGCCGCGCCCGCAAACAGGCTTGGGATCCCGCTCGGGCCGAGCACAGATGCCGCGCAAAGGCGCTGGTAAGGACCAAAGCAACCACGCTCGGGATCCCGCTCGGGCCAAACCCGTGCCAAGGCGCAGATAAGGACCAACACCGTCACGCTCGAGAGTTTAATGCAACGCGCAGGCGCCTGCAAGGACCAAAGCGGCCAGGCTCGCTAGCCCGCTCGGGATCCCGCTCGGGCCTTGCAAAGGCAAGCGAAGCCACGCTCGGGATCCCGCTCGGGATCCCGCTCGGGGCGAACGCGGATGCCACGCAAAGGCGTCACTCTTGCGGAAGCCATACAGTTAGCACACGCCAGACCCTCTTGCACCTCGCTTGGCCGTGTCAGCCAGGACTCTTCGCATCACGCTTGCCAGCGCGCTTCTCCTACAATATTTGCCGTTTCCTGCAATGGCGTCTTGATAATTGAATTTGGCTTGGGGATTCACAAACAACGAGCCCCTAAAAGCCTGGCAACTGCACCCCTAAAAGCCTGCTTCTCCACCGCTAAAGCAATGCCTCCTGCGACTTGAAAGCGCGCCCGTAGTAAAACGACTGACATTATGAAGAAGCTTGCTTCGTCCGAGTGTTGCATCATGTTGCGCGCAAACGCAAACGCATTACCGTCCCGAACTCAAGCTGGGCTAGGACACAGTGTGGAAGCTCTACCCGCGAGAAAAGACAAGTCCATCATCCTGAAAAAACACCGTGCTCTGGTTTTACTCTTGAAAGCCCACAAACACGCTCGAAGTTTTGCCGCGCAGAGGGGCTTGGGATCCTGCTCGGGCCGAGCACAGACGCTGCGCAAAGGCGCTGGTGAGGACCAAAGCAGACACAGTCGGGATCCCGCTCGGGCCAAACACGTGCGCCGCGGGAAGGCGCAGATAAGGACCACTCGGGCCAACTACTCTGGATGCAACTCGCAGGCGGCTGAAAGGAACAAAATGGCCAGGCTCGCTAGCCCGCTCGGGATCCCACTCGGGGCGAGCACGGGTGCCACGCAAAGGCGTCAGACCCTCTTGCCGAAGCATACAGTTAGCACACGCCAGACCCGCTTGCGCCTCCTTTGGCCGTGTCAGCCAGGAGTGTTCGCATCACGCTTGCCAACGCGCTTCTCCTACAGTTTTTTTTGCCAAGCAGACTCGCTCGGGATCCCGCTCGGGCCAAGCGCATCAGTCCTGAAAGATCCGCTACCTCGCCACCACCTTGCGACAGCGAGAAGAATCGCAACGCTCGGGAGTCCACTCGGGATGCAACGCGCAGGCGGCTGAAAGGACCAAAACGGCCAGGCTCGCTAGCCAGCTCGGGATCCCGCTCGGGCCGGCTACGGATGCCACGCGAAGGGGCCTTGGCGGGCAAACTTAAAACTTTCAGGATCCCGCTCGGGAGAAACGCGGATGCCACGCACAGGCATGTGCGAACGCAAGCGCATAGCACACGCCAGACCCTAGCGCCTTCTCAGCTGGTGTCAGCCAGGACTCTTCGGATCATCACGCTTGCCAATGCGCTCCTCCTAACTACAGTCTTTGCCCTTCACTGAAATGGCAACGCAGCAGTTTTAGTGCGTGGCATGCACCCCCATTATTCGGCGAAGGGCGCGCTTCTGCATCCATCGGCGCAACTGCGGCACCCCCCCCCCCCCCCCAGGATGTTTCGAAGTAATGATGATTCTGGCATGGCAACCTGCAACAGCACCCTGCGCAACTCTGCAGCACCCTGCGCAGCTCTGAGTCTCGTCCTGCCTTCCTTCCTTCCTTCCTTCCTTCCTTCCTTCCTTCCTTCCTTCCTTCCTTTGCTTCCTTTGCTTCCTTTGTTTCTTTTGCTTCCTTTGCTTCCTTTGCTTCCTTTGCTTCCTTTGCGTCTTTGGCGTCTTTTGCTTCCTTTGCTTCCTTTGCTTCCTTTGCTTCCTTTGCTTCCTTTGCTTCCTTTGCTTCCTTTGCTTCCTTTGCTTCCTTGCGTCCTTGCGTCCTTGCTTCCTTGCTTCCTTGCTTCCTTGCTTCCTTGCTTCCTTGCTTCCTTGCTTCCTTGCTTCCTTGCTTCGCTTCCTTGCTTCCTTGCTTCCTTGCTTCCTTGCTTCCTCGCTTCCTTGCTTCCTTGCTTCCTTGCTTCCTTGCTTCCTTGCTTCCTTGCTTCCTTGCTTCCTTGCTTTCTTCCTTCCTTCCTTCCTTCCTTCCTTCCTTCCTTCCTTTCCTTTGCTTCCTTTGCTTCCTTCGCTTCCTTCCGTGCTTCCGTGCTTCCTTCCGTCCTTCCTTCCAATGCCCATGCAAAGCTATTTTGATGCCAAGCCTTATTTCAAAGACCTTGAACAATCCGACTGCCAGACTAGTTGGAGTGCTAACTGTTGGGCCTCAACCACGGCTTGGGAAAAAAACGCTGCGCAAGCGCCCAAACAGTTAGCACTCAACGTTGGAATGCCGTGTGCTAACTGATTAAGACAAAGCAGAGAGACAAAGAGAGGAAAGATAAAGAGCAATGAGAGAAACATATATAAAGAAGAGAACACGTAAGAACAAGTCACACATCACACTATGTATCTTATATCTTCTGCCCACCGGCTTGCGCCAGCTCTACTGGTAGGTAGTCAAGGCGTCGCCCCTTCAAAACCCATGGCAACACCCCCACCCCCCACCCATCCAGCCACCCAGCCCCACGACGCAAAGGACCAGCCGCCTCTCCGCCAAGTCGCGCAAAGGAAGGTCCCCAGCTTGGGTGAGGCCCAGGTCACATCCAGCACCCCGCAGTCGCAGCACTGGCGGTTGCCCCCGGACCGCTTCAGGGCCGCCAGCTCTGCTTTCAGCCTCCGAACAAATGCCCCGAAACACCCCTTCATGAGCCACAACGCCATGAAAAAGATATGGCTGTGGCTCAAAAACCCGGCGCCAAAATGGAACCCTTGTAAGCGGAAACATGGACCCAAACCTGCGGTTTGCCCCTCCTGTTTAATTTGAGCCACACCCATAAGACCATTCATGGCTCGTGGCGGCAACAGCCACGAAATGTCACGACTTGTCACAGGCTACGATAACTCCCTGGCTCTCAATCAGTACGTCTCACTACGTGACCTTTGGGGGCGCTACGCACATTAGTGCACACATCTCATTTGACCAAGCATGCCTAAGACTATAACATAAGGGCGGAATATATGTAGATACCTGTCAACGCGAGGGAGGCCCCAGCAAACGTGTTGTTCCTTTGCGTTTCCTTTCGAGCCAACCACAAAGAAACACGTGCACCTTCAAAAACAAACGCGCACACACACACAACACAACACAACACAACACAACACAACACAACACAACACAACACAACATAACACAACACAACACAACACAACACAACACAACACACAACACACAACACACAACACACAACACACAACACACAACACACAACACACACACACACGCATCATACACACTATGATAAGGGCAGATTTCCGGATGCGACAACGGGCCTTTTGACAAGAATACGCATATGTTTTGGAGCGGGGCACCGAGATGGTCCGCCGCTGCAAGCAAACGATCCCCAAAAACAAGCCTCTGCCCCCAATCCAAAAGAGCGAAGCTTTCACAAAGGACGTCCAATGTCGCATGTCAGAGCTCCGAAAGCTCCAGACCAGACAAGTCGGTACAGCAAACCACCGAACCGTTTGGACATGGAGACCCGTTTGGAACCCAGGGTTCCTAGAACCAAAGGCCTCGGCTGCCAGTCTTCCACATCCTTCTTGAGATAGCTGTTGCCGATCTTGCTCCTGGCAACGCTTGGAGCCACGCCGAGTAGGTAAGCAAACACCGTGTGTTTGTTTGGTGTTCGAAGGGTTCCCTTGGCTTTCTACTATACAGGTTCAGGGGATCGGGCGGGAAAATAGGAAAATTGGGGTTTATAGTAAAACGGGAGAAATGGATAAGATGCGCATACCCAACAATACTGCCAAAAACGATATGCTACTATTGTCCGTTGCCGGTGGCTTCCTCTGCGGGAAAAAACAACGACGTTGTTTTTTTGTGCTGCACATCCGCAAAAACATTTGTCGATCTATCCATCTAACATATGATATGATATAGAGTTAATGGGCTACATAGTGTTCAGCACACGGTCCGTACCAGCGAGGGTATCTGGGTTTAAGGTTTGGTGCCGCAAAATGGCTTTTACGTACCCCCCCCCCTTGTTGCCGTGCGCCTGTGAAGGCTGGAAGTTGTCAACCGAGCGAAAACTCTCAAGAAACCAACTCCACAGAAAGGAGCAACCTGCCTGTTTTTGGTTATTCGTGGACTTCAGAGGGAACCTCCGAAACCAGGCGTCAAAGAGAACCACTGGTGGAGGGATTGTTGTTGGACTGCCGCGCTGGCTTGATTGCACTGGCAGCCACGTGCTTGACTGGAGGGCCCCGGCATCCACCGAAAAACTAAAATATCACACGATTGAAACTGGGCCCATCATACAGTTTATTCCACCCTTTGGCTCAATCAAGGGCTGATTCCATAGGTCCATATGTTCATACCAGGGGTTCATACATGGACGTCTACATTCAGCCTTTGAGTCCAGCAACCCAGGCCCCAGACCCGGGCTGACGAGACCCTCTCCTGAACTTCTCGCCTGAGGATGCCATCTGGAAGATACGTCAAGGCGCGCCGAGTTTCTACAGGGACCCCGCGCTTGAGCCGAGCTGACTTGCTTGTCCTTGCAACCCTTCCTTTGCTTTCGGATGAGAGTTGATGATCACACCCCTCTTGAGGTCGGGAAAAGCGAGGGCACTGTTAAAATCCACAAGGGCGAAGTCTCAAATCCTAGAATGACAGCGTCTGAGCTTCATTGCAGGGCACTCAACATGTATCCGACACAACTCACTCGAATCCAAGGCGCTGAAGAAGTAGCGCATGCCAGAGCACTCCGGGGCGACATGATCTCGCCGCAGAACAAGTACAGGGCCTCAACCGCAAACCCAACTAGGTGCGTGTTTTTCTCCTTTTTCTTTCTTTTCTCGGAGACCCCCCGCCAACAAACAAAATTGTGTTTTTTCCTGTTGGCTCCATTTTAAAATCACAAAAAGAAAGGGGTACCGTCCAGAAATTCCTGACACCCCAACCTGGATGTTCACCGCCTTTTCGGAAGTAGATTGTACAAGTATCCAAGGAGGAAGCGGAACTCACCTCAGTTCTCCCAGGTCGCAATTACTCGAACCATGACCTGCTTACGCGGGTTGATCCGAAACGGGCGCCTGTGCAGCTACCACAAGTTGTCGGATCCCGTCAGTGCCAAAGGACACGCGGGGGTTGCTTAAACCATGGCGACACGTTGAAGGCATTGACCCAACTCTGACAGTCAGCCGGTGAGTTTGCTTCAGGTTTTTCCGCCTGGTTGCGAAAAAGGGGGTTCAACCCATGGAAATGCAGATCACTCTTAGGGGAGACAACTCTTGTTTTCTCCTTTTTTGGAAAAGTGGGGCTCCTTTTTCATTTGGCCTCCCACGGGGCAGTGACGATATTGTACCCTTCGGATGTTTGAGTTGGTCGGCTTGGATTAGCTTCCTCCTAATGGCGAGCAGCTTTGCTCTTCTTTGCCCGAAGGACGCCGGGACTTGTTCAAACCAAGCATGCCCAACTCTGTGTACGAGTACATCATGCCTTTCCCGCGCTTTACCCAACCAAACCCAACCCTCCCCCCCCCCCCCTTTTTTTTGCGGTTGAGCTCGCCCTCTCGGCTCCGCCCGACTCCGAACTCCGCCGAGCCGCACACCTCCACCTCCGCGTCTCGGGGCGCCGCGGCTTCCGCGAAGACGCCCCGCCCGAACTTCGAGGCTCTCAGCGCCAAGGGCAGGCGCTGCCCAAAGGCGGCCTCCGCCTCGGGCGGCCCAGAGGGCCGGGGTGAGGCGACTTTTTTAATGGGGTGAAGTGGTCCAAAACTCCCAGGGAAGAAAACTGTATGTAACAAATGTGTCAGATGAGGTCTGTTCAAAGTCAAGCAATACCCCATCCCTATTGCGCCTGTTGAGGAACAAGCTTGCATGTGTTAAGCCAGCTGCATGTTGAGACCATGGGTATAACTGGGGTTTGTCTCCTTATAAACATGGCAATACCCCTAGCAATAGGTGGCTTGCACACCCAGGCACGGGAAACCCGTATTTTGCGGGACCCGGTTCACGTGGGTTGATTAGTCTAAAGCCACGAGTCCTTCGAGGGAAGCCGCTGATGTTAGAGGAATACCGTGGTGAAACCCAGCTGAAGCCAGCTAGGCCAAGTTCAACACACTAGGGCAGGTTTCGCAGTGTTTTTGTAAATTTGCAGGGCCCCCGAAGTTAAGTCATACACATCAGGGTCTTCAAGAAAGACGTGACCAAGGGCTTGGACCTTTGAGCTGTTTTGTTTTAACAGGGGGAAAAGGGACCCTCACACGCCCCGGATTTCTGTTGTTCTTAGAATGCGATGTTTGCTTCTGTCTATGCAAATATGCTTGCATATTTTAGGGAAAGCAAGGGCATCACAGCAACCTCTCCAAACCCCACCTAGGTCCTCCAGTGGAGAGGTTAGAACAAGGGTACCCTTTATTTTCTGTAGTCTGTTTTAGTAGGGGAACCCTCCCCCAAAAAAGGGTGAGAAACCTAGCCACAACTGGAATCCTGCCCAAAGCACCAGCCTCCCCGTGCAACATATTTGCCCGCGAGCGGCTTCCTGTCAGCCCCCTTCTCCCAGTGGCCGCCACCAGTGGCTCCAAAGGTAGCCAAAGAATTGGGACCCCTTTTTTGGGAGTTGATCTCGTGTTTCATGTTGACCCCATGTTAATCAACCCCAGTCTATTTGTATGGGGGTGGGGGCCCCTCCAAAAGTGATACTTCCCCACTAAACCGCACCCCCGATTAATAAACGGGGGGTGATTAATATGGGGTCAACATTTTCTGGGGAACCCAGCAAACAAAAAGGAATCCACTGATGGATCCAAATCATGCTTAGAGCGTTTCATATTGGGAGGGGTAGGATCTGAGCAGCGCTGGCTCACTTCGCAGACTTCGCACCTGTGCGCTGGATCTCGGATCGGCCTGTGTGAAGGCCTACGTGAAACCATAAACTCTCTCCGTGGCGCTGCTACGAGGCATGCCAAAGGAAAGGCCTACGCCCCATGGCAAAGAACCTGCCCCCCCCCCTGCCGCAACGTTGGCAAGGCTCTGAAGGAACCTTCCAAGCCTGGAAGGCGGTTCTGATCTAAAGGTTCTGCAAACATTTTTGGGGACTGGGGGGGGATTTTGTCTCTCCTTGCCATGGGAGGCAGAAATGAGCTGAGCTCTTTCAAAACTGGCCGCTTCTTGTCGACTATACCTGGCCTGAGGTGGCAACATCTCACTGATCAAATCACTCGCCCATCTCAGTCTAATCAGATGCGGAGTGCTCTCAGTCCGGCAACGGAGTTGTCCGCAAATCCGCCTGAGGATCAAAGCAAGGCCTTTTGCATCCGGCAAAACAGGAAAAAGGCTACTTTCTGCTGCTCGCCCGACCTAATTACAGGGCCAGAACAATCGCAACACCACGTTGGGCTCCTTCCTCACTTCATGTTCTTCCATTGCTGTCCGGTTTGGGAAACCCAGCTGGGTCTCTTAAGCCGGAATCCGGTCCAGCAAAGAGCTCCCCCCTTTACGCCGTTTCAACGAGGAGTCTGGCCCGCGTGCATAGCATGGGGTCTGAACAAATTGAACAAGTCATATTAACACAACAAAAGATGATAACCACGCCCTCTGTTTCCTGCGGGCAAACGACACAAAATACGATCTGCAAATTCTACAACAATTCCAAAACTGAAATCTGTGATTTTCAGGCTATTCTCCCAGGTGAATTCACAAACTTCCGCAGAATAATTGATTTTTGCACTCAGGAGTCCTTTCTTGAGCTCTTGCCCCTCTGTCCTAGACCAGGTGCCCCTCCCATCCTCACCAACCTGCGTCTGCTCCAGCCGCTCACCTCTCTATCTAATTCTCATGTTGGAGGGTGTACGAGAGAAAGGGAAATAGGGGCATATCCTCCCTCTTCCCATCCTTTCAGAATGGCGGACATGAGGCAAGCCAAGAACCCGCGAAGTTTTGGCTACAAACGCTACACGTCACCAGGATCCCAAAAAAGTATCCCATGATTGAAGTGGCGCTGCTCTGAAATATGCATTGTGCACTCCATTTCTTGCGTCACTTGTCGTCCTCAAACAACCTCCCACTTGGCAGCGGAATCCCCCCTTTAATGAACGACTCATGGAGATCTCGAGAGAGCCGGGGGGTGCAGGGGCAAGTTTCAGCAAGTTCCAAGTTGGTACTTTCTCTGTTGACCTCACACGCTCCTCCAAAATAGCTTCCTTTTGTCAAAAATCAGTCCTGAATCCTCATGCCAAATACTCATGAAATTCTTGTGTCCAAAGCCCTGGGATTTTGGATGGGAAACTTCTGAAGCCCAAAAAACGCCCCCGCCTCAGTCCCCGAAGAGCAGGGACCCGTTCTCGGACTCCGCCGGCAGGTCTGCACCCAATAGGCCCACCTCAGGGAGCAGCTCAGCCGAGAGTTGGTCGCTTGCAGCACCCCCAAGCCATTTGGGGGGTTGATCAAAGGCTAGGAGGATATTTGCACATACATATATATATATATATATGTAGCATGTATATGTATAATATGTATGTCCACACGTCATATTACATATATTTTGGGGTGCTGTGATACATGGGATGACTGGATGGTAAGAGTTGATCTTGCTTTTTACATGGGAAGAGCTACCCATGGTCGTTTCAGGCGTTTCCGGCTGAGTTGGATGGTTGGGAAACCACGAGGCAAAGATGAAACTTGTCCCACATGGGAAAAGTTAGCCATGGTCATTTGGGGCCCAGAAATGTTGATCAACACCCATTTCTCACTTCTCGGGTTTTTCAGTCATTTCCGGCCGGGTCTCAAGGAATGAGTTGGAACGAGGCACAAACTGAACCATCCCTTGCAATTTGCTCAGAAGGGTCCCAAAGTTCATTCCCAAACCTCCTGTTAACGAGAAATGGAGCCTTCTTACACAACAGGCTGCCTCTCTTTGTGCCAGGCCCTTTTCGACCTGTCCTTTGAAACCAGGAATCTAGAGAGTTACCCATCGTGAAGAAACCGCGCTCTATACAAAACCGCGACCACGGCGCTTTTCAAAGGTAGCAGCCGCAGTCATGGAGTCCATTGAGATGGCCATGCAACCCACAGAGACACGACACACCCTTATTAAAGCGGTTTCTGACAATTTTGAGGTTGACTCTAATAAGGGAGATAAATCGTTGCCTGAAACAAGGCTTAAGACCACTGGACACATCAAGCGGCACATGCAACCTGTGAGTGGCAACCCGTGCCTCTCGGATGTGGCCTATAGGGTCACTGTCCTGACCGGCTAAAACAGAACCCGAGCGAAGTGAATGAATAGGATTGCAGCCCGCAAGTGTCAAAAACTAAATTCCCTTGGCTTGCTCCTGTACAAGTCTTTGCCTTTGGTTGGCTATGAAACCCAAAGCCCCATTGCATTCACAGAAGAAATCACAACAACAAAGCACCTCCGTACATAAGTGAATCTACGTGGTTTGAATCAGCCCAAGTGGCTGCGTGTCCTGGGTCCTAGTAAAAGGGCACTCTTTTCCGGGCTGACCATTTTCAGAGGAAACCCGCCAAACCAAAAAAAGAAAATGGGTGCCATGAGAACGCCTGTGCAATCTGTCAAATCCCATCCCTGGACAGCACGTGGGGGTTGCCTGAAAATAACCAGCTGTCAGGATTCAAAAGCCTGGACAGCCGTGGACAGTCTATTACCCCGTTGGCATTGAACGTATGTTTCCTTCACTGCGAACACACCACACAAAAACCAACGAAATGACAAACAAGCAAGGCAAGCCAAACAAGGCAAGGCAAGGCAAGGCAAGACAAGGCAAAGCAAGCAACGGCCACCTGCCAACCACCTTACCGCTCTAGACTTTTGTGGATCCATGTTGGATGCGAAGGAAACCAAGAGGCAGAACAGAGAGAACCACGTGGAATCCGCACAAAGCGCGTCGAAGCTGAGTCCTTGTAGGCCTGGTAGGTGCTCCTCTCTTTCTTGACCTCGGTGCCAACTTTGTCTCCGCCCGTTTGGCCACGTTCCCCAGAACGGCTCGGCCTGAAAGGCGCTCCCCCACATTTTCCCTTCAAGCATCACAGCAAAGGGAAGCTCACTTCAAGTTCAAGAAGGGATGTTCAAGCACCACGAGGAGAACCCAAGACTAAGGAAAATCCGCGGTTACAGGGAACCCTGCTTTCTTAAACTTGCGTTTGCTTGGAAATCGCCCATTTGCTCTTTTTACTCCTGGCTATCTTTACTGGACTCCCCAATCCCAAACTCCAGTCAGTCAAGGCTGGGAGCAAGATCAAACTTCGCTTCTTTTGGAGGGTACCCCCATCTCCCCCATTTACTTTTGGGAGATGGATTAATCCGAGCTCAACATTGAAAAAACATAGCGCTTTAAAGGGAACGCCCTCCCCCCCCCCCCAATTCCCTTTGTGCAATTTCCCCAGAAACCGGTCAACCCCCGAAAAAACCGACTAAAAACCGGTAGTCATCAAATCCCTACAAACCGGTCAAATCCGCCTCTAGAATCCAATTGAAGCCGGTCAACTTCCCATCTAGAAACCAGAAAGTCCCAAGACCGGTCCAAGTCAGCTCCCCCTAGAAACCAGTCAACTTCGCCTTGAAACCGGTCAGATTCCCCTTCAGAAACCAAATCCCCGAAAAGCTGTAGAAACCAGGTCATCCAACTCCTGTCAAATCTGCCAGAAACTTGCAAAATTCCCCGCAACAAGCCAAACAATTTCCCTAGAAATTTGC